AAAAAAGAAAAAAAAAGAAAAAAAAAAAAGAAGAAAAAAAAGAAGAAAAAACAAAAAAAAAAGAGAAAAAAAAAAAACCAGTTCCTAGATTTCGACGCCCTGAACCCGACAACTATCCAGCCGTAACAGCACTGCAGGGAAACGGCAGATATAGGGCTATCCACGATCTACGCCAGTCCTCGAACACGTACCCCTCGACGTCTTCTTCCGCACCGCGGAGGCACTGCTAAAAGCCGAGCAGCAGGGAGGAAGATACCTCGTTCTGACGAATATGCACGCTGAGATGGGGAGCCGGAGCCGAGCTGGGTTTGTGGATACTGACACGAAAGAGAAGGTGCAGGGCACGAGTTTTGTGTATGGAGTTGAGAATGTGGTGGGGGAAGCCGGGAGGTGGGGTGCTAGGCTTGTTGAGGCTGTGGGGGAGACGGCGCTTGAGGAGGAAAGGTTTAGGTAAAGTGGTTCATGAGGAGAGGGGGAGGGAGTGGGTTGGTTGTAAAGTGTGGTTTGGGATGATGATGAGGTTTGTGGGTTCGGGTGAGAAGGAGATGAGAAGGCTTGCCGTACGGAGAAAAATGCGGTTTGAACGCGTTGCGGGCTTCAAGGAAGATGAGGGACCAGGTATTAGGTGGTATTTGGTATATTTCCATCTCACGCAGAGGAAAGTGTTCAATTACAGGCGCAGGATTCTGTGTCATTTGGTCATGTTTCTAACTGAGCCAGTGACACGCGTCATTTGCAAGAGCGGGTATCTTTTGAAAACGTACTGTACAGAGGTGAAGAGGAAGTGCTCTCATTGCCTGGGGAGCTTCAAGACAATTCTGTGTCTGTTGGAGAAAAGGGCCAAATTCCGCCTCAAGCCCGGATGATGTTATCTGCAGCATCCCAAGACGCGAGACTTCCATTTTATCAGGGATTCGCAGGATTTTGGGGCTTCTCGTCTCCCGCGGAGTGTGGCATGCGTCAGGCCAGATTGACGAAGAGCCCAGCTTTGACAAACTGCCACCTGTCAAAGAAGTTTTCAAGGTCGGCATTCATCTTTTCAGGACTCCCAAGTCTCGTGCAGAGTAAGGAGCTGTCCCATGTGGCGAAATGCATCCTCGAAATCGATCATACGTCCAGTGCCCTGCTAATTCTCCGGTTTACTTTCGTGCGTCTCGACAGCTTCGGGACTCTCGCTGCTCTGTACAGGTGGCCTGGCGAGATACTACCACGCGCCAAGAACGTAGTCGAATTCTTGGGTCCGTTCTTCAGATTCTGATCCGCGAAGCCTCTGTTTCAATTTCCACTTATTGAGCTTCGACCGAAGAAATTCTCGTTCAGAGTTGTATACATTATAACTGACTGCGGCAGGGGCAGGTAGTGACAGGGAAGGACCACTCAGGCATTTCCTAATTCTTTGTGTTTGTGTAAAGTAGGTTCGTACCAGCGAATAATTCGTCAAAGCCTTTTCAAGCAACCTACTCACCATAAGAACTCGGTCATCATCAGAGTACTGCCCAATAATTTGTATACCTGCAAAACTTGGCACACTCGCGGTTTCGTCTTCCGAAATTATCAGAAAAGGAATGCTAATTGCAGGGAGACCAGCCAAGCTAGCAGGTACGGTGAAAACATCGTTCATGTAAGTGTCAACTGGCCTCAGTTCGGAGACCGCCTTCAAGGTTGGCGGGGGTGTCGGGGCCGTAGGGCAAACGATGAAATCAACCTGAGGGGGACCGAGCTTGTCGTCAAGCTGGATCGATTCATCCATGTTGCTAAGATCAAATTGTTCTGGGTTCCGGAGAGGATTCGATATTGCAAACACTCGGTCAAAGTCTCGTTGGACTAATCTGCGCACTTTCTGGGCCTTGATGAAATAATTGTCGATCGCCTCTGAACTCAGGGTATAAGAGCCGAGAAGGATGCGCCTCTTGACCTCATTACCAAAGCCTGTACCACGTGTCTTCGAATACAAAACATCTCCAGCGCCATCATCAGACTTTGAACGAGTGCCATATCTCACACCGTCGTATTTCGACAGATTCGAGGCCGCTTCAGCTGGCGCAAGAACATAGTATGCTGAGAGAGCATGCTTCGTGTTTGGAAGAGATATCGGTACAATAGTTGCGCCGCCTTCTTGCAGAATCTGCAGGGCATCTTGCCATGCTTGGCGTACACCCGGATCGAGTTCCTCTATGTTGTACTCCAGTGGCACACCGATCTTTATGTTGTTGAAGGCCAGTTTTTCCGTAGGATCAAGTTCACCACTTCTCTTTTGCCTTTGAAACTCCTGTCGCAAGTCTCTCTTCCTGTGCAAGTCCATTCTCTTTCGTGACTCTTGTGATATTGAGGTTGGATCCTTGATGTCGAACTTAGAGACATGATTGAAGGCGTAGCGAATAGCTTTCGTTTTTGAAGCCAGGAACCCAACGGTATCCAGGGAATTGGCATAAGGTACTACGCCCCAGCGTGATACAAGTCCATACGAAGGTTTGAACCCTACTATGCCCGTATAGGCTGCTGGTAACCTGACCGAACCTCCTGTGTCCGTACCTAAGGCAACAGGACATTGTGCATTAGCCACCGCAACTGCACTGCCACCTGAGCTTCCCCCAACAGAATACGTATCAAACTGGCCGGTATTCCTGACAGGTCCAAAGAATGAGTTTGTCGAATGGGACCCCATGCCAAACTCATCCATGTTCGTCTTCCCTGTGATAACCCTTCTTCCCGGTTTATCAGGAATGGTAAGCCGGGTGATCACATCGGCTTCGAATGGACTTTGATGGTTCCGGAGAATACCAGAGGCACAAGTGGTTGGGAAGTCGACCGTGGCTATATTGTCCTTGACAGCGACGAGTTGTTCTTTGGGAACTTTGGGCCCTAGTGTCCTTGTTCAGCGGGTTATACCAAGGCATGGGCAGCATACGGATACGTTCATACCTGGATCACTCCAGGTATCAGGTTTTGGAGCTCCATTTTGGTTGTTGTAATCGTCGTTCTGTCGATCAATACGCGGTATAAAGACGTTTGACAATCTCACAGCATCATCGGCGAGCTTCTTGACAACTTTAACGCGACGGATAGAAGTCATCTGAGTCCATACAGTTTAGTAGCTCGAATAATGTATCTTGGGGGTTGCATGGTGAGGGTTTGTAGGATCCGATGTTGAGAAGAAAGCTCGGCCTCCTGTCTTGGCCTTGGCGAGACAGGGGTCGGTCCGTTCGGAGTGGAGCGGAGCGGAGTGGTGCCTGTCGTTTTCCTTATCCTTATCGCTAGTCATCAAGGTTGACCCATTGATGTCAGCGGCTCGCCAGGTGCGGCCGAGCACCCACCTACAAACACTACTCTCCGACCTATGCTCTTAGACCGAGATTCCCCAAATTAAAACTGGTCTCCTCACCTGCCACTATCTGCACAACTCTTATGCCAAAAACCAGCAAAATGACGAAACGACTGTGGACATGGACAAGCTTCCTACTGCCGCTGGCGGTTGCTGAACAGCCTTCAGCTCTAAAACCAGTCGCAGCGCCTATGAGAGACTTGCCGTGGGGCCAACTGAACTTTTTACAAACCACAGATACTCATGGCTGGCATGCCGGTCATCTACAAGAGTGTGTTCGACACCCGAAACAGTTGCGGCAATAGCTAATGTCTACCAGGCCCCAGTATTCAGCCGACTGGGGCGATTACATTTCCTTTGCAGAAAGAATACGCCAGAAGGCAGACGACATGGGTGTGGATGTTCTCGTTGTTGATACTGGGGATCGGATAGAAGGGAACGGGCTATACGATGCTTCAGACCCCAAGGGAGAATACACCTACGACATTTTCAAGGAACAACACATTGATGTTCTGTCCACGGGCAACCACGAATTATACCATATTGATGCTGCGGAACGGGAATACACGAAGACGGTACCGAACTTCAAAGGGCACTATCTGGCTTCCAATCTCGACTATATCAAACCCAACACCGGAGAGGTAGTCCCAATGGCGCAGCGATTTCGGAAGTTTACAACCAAGCACCAAGGCATAAAGGTTCTTGCATTTGGGTTCTTGTTTGATTTCACCGGAAATGCGAATAATACTGTCGTCCAACCGGTAGAAAAAACTATCCAGGAGAAGTGGTTTCAGGACGCTATCAGAGAGGATGTGGACCTTTTTCTGGTAGTCGGTCATGTCACGCCTCGTGGACCCGAATACAAGGCAGTTTACGAAGCTATCAGAAGACAAAGGTGGGATACGCCTATACAATTCTTCGGCGGCCACAGTCACGTTCGAGACTTTTCGAAGTACGATTCCAAAGCATACGCTTTACAGAGTGGCCGATACATGGAGACTATTGGCTGGCTCTCTATCGAGGGTATCAAAGTCACGGGGAAGAAGGAAGATCAAAATGGAGTCGGTGCTGGAGCAAGCTACACGGTTAAGCGAAGATACATTGACAACAACCTATTCGGGTACCATTACCACACAGGCCTGAACGAGACCACTTTCCCTACCGATCACGGAAAAAACGTATCGAGCTTGATTCGCAAAGCCAGAGAATCATTGGAACTCGACTACAACTTTGGCTGCGCACCAAAAGATCTCTGGCTCAACCGAGCCCCTTACCCCAGCGATAACAGCCTTCTCACCTGGCTCGAAAAAGAAGTCATGCCAGATGTAATCAACAACAAAGATCGTAAAAATGTACCTGCATTAGCAATTACTAATACAGGTGCCATGCGATTCGATATATTCAAAGGCAGCTTTTCCCGTGACACGACATACATCATCTCCCCATTTGCCAGCAAATTCAAATACATCAAAGATGTGCCCTACAAATCAGCTAAGAACCTGCTTAAGATGCTCAACAACAACGGTCCTATCTTCACCACCTCAGGTCTCCACACATCGCAACTTGCACCCCCAGAACAAATTTCCATCCAAACCGACATGATTGCCCCAACCCACGAAGCATCCGATTTCTTCCCCGGATCCTCACAGTCCCCTCTCATCTCCTCTTCTGACCCTCCAAATCTTATCCCAGGCTACATTACCAAAGACGATAGCGGCTCGGACGGCGACGACACCCTGCACGCCCCCATCTCCTTCTACAGAGTGCCCAACTGCATCCAAAGCCCCATCTCCTTTCCCTCCTCCGGCGAACCCGAGACCGTTGACGTCGTATTCGTCGACTTCATCCAGCCGTGGATACTGCTTGCGCTGCAGTTCTCGGGGGAGAGTTATACGAAGAGGGATGTAGAGGAATATATGGATGAGACGTTGACGGAGTTGATGGCGGGATGGATTAAGAGGAACTGGGGGCAGGATTGCTAGAATATATTTGTGTATGTATGATATTGTGAATTTGTGTGCTCTGTGCGGCATAAGTTATTGGCATTGGCATGTCTTTATTGGCGTATGGGACTGGAATGGAGGCTGGGGCATCTTACTATGCGATGTAATTCTTGATTGTTTACATCCCTCGGTTATTACAGAAGACCTTATTTTTCATCTTTTTTATCACTTTCTATGTTTCCCCTTTTCCCCTCCTTTCTTCCCCTCATTTCTTCCACTTTTATCCTTGACCCTGACCGCTCGCTGACGCTGATACACTATGGTCGTCAAGAAAAACCATCTTATTCAGGAGGAGTGATATTTTCGGCGCTTTCGCTCTTATTTCGAAGGTACTCAACACAAACATAAGAAAGTGTTTTAGACAGCGAGAGGGGGAGACAGCAAAGATAAAGAAATTCAAAACTTCCAAAATCCAGAGAAGCTGCCGCAAAAGCACTTTCTGGAGAAAATGAAGGAGAAGAAAAAGAGGAGAATAACCCACTGGCTCTAATTCTGGCTGGAAGCTAATAATCAAAGAGCAATTCAAGAAGAATAAATGGATGAATTAACAAATCAATAATTATTTACATATGATAATCTTGTGATGAGCTGTCTACATAGAAGCACGGATGCTTCCGCTTACGAGGGAGTAGTTGAATTGTTGATCAAGTAGTTGGCGAGAACCTCCACGGCTAGCTTAGAGCAATTCTTCATCATATTTTGGCGAGTTTGAAGAGGGGATTTATATAGAAAAAAATGAAAAGAAAGGTGAAGTTTGAAGAAAAGGGCTGTCGACTACCTAATTAGGATATCCCAACATAAGTTAAGCGAGCGCCCAAAATCAATTAAAAAATAAACAAAAGTTTAACACCTACAAAAATAAAAAGAATAGAGAGACCGAAATTTTTCAAGCTCGCCACAACTTTAAAAAACAAAAATATCAGAGAACCCCGCACATAGATGCGAGGTTCTGAGAACCAAACGTAATCAAAAACGTTTATTTCGGCGTTACAATTACCAGTTTGTCCTGAAGATGACTCTGCCTACTGAGCCACCCCGCCTGCTGGATGAATAACATGCAAACTGTTTGGGTACATCAATAAGATGCAAATTTTTTTCTGCGGAAGCGAGTGGGAAAAAAAGGTATGTACAATAGACGAAGGACTGCCAAACGATTGCGAAGTCAGTTTTTATATTCGAACCGTAAATAGATTGATTGGTGAAAGAGACGAAGCAAATTTGCTTGGCTTTTGATCGCCACTTGTTACTATCTTGTAGAAGAATGATATATGGGCTGCGGAGATTCTTTCGGTTTGAAACTAGCGAGATTCAATAGATATAAATTTCCGAACATGTCCGTCCCGGTTCATAATATGAGTTGGCTTCCCAAAATCTGGGGCCCTTTCCTTTTTGCGCTCATCACAACTCATTCAAAATTCATTTCATTGCTGCCTCCATTCCCTCTCATGATCCTTACCGCTTTTTATTTCACCCGGGTACCAGCTCAGCTCATATTTCCCTCTCTCTCTCGCCACTTCCCATCCCTCAAACGTGCCTTCTCTCGACCTGTGTAGTTGATAAGGCTTACTTCAAAGGCGCGAATCCGGATCTGGCTTGGCTGGCGTCAAATACAGCGTAGTAAGCATCGAAGAACACATCGCCATAAATGTTCTGGTTTCTACCACTAACAGACTGCAAGCTTCCAAAGCAGAAGCCCCATCCCACGTATCCGAATATCATTAGGGCGGACGGGATAGTGGCGTACTGGGAGGTTCCGATTCCGAAAGAGAATGTGGGAGGGCTGGCGAAGCAGGGAAACATTTAGCGCCCTGTCTCCAGTTGTAGAAAGCACCTTTGACGGATGTGTAATAAGCGTCAACGGCAGGATCGCCCATTGGTATGCCAGCATCCTATCTAGAGGAGGCGTGGAGACAACTGGTACCAAAAGGTGACGAGACGATCTGCAAGCGGGATTGTCTCGACATCCGCGCCACAGGTTAGGAAACCTCGATATTCAAGATGATGTCAAGTGACGGCTTGCAGCGAGGTTTTTTTGATTGGCGATAAGATGCAAGCGGAGCTACTTAAATATTAACAGCTTTTCACGTTGTGAGAGGTGCCACCAAGCTTACCTATTGGGGTACCATTATACCGGTAGTTGTAGTTGTAGAAGTACATACATACAAACACCTCCAAGCCCAGACAAGCATCAGGCCGGTCGGTCGAGCTTTGGGCATCAGTGGCGCGCAGTAGAGAATTTCAGCAACAGTGTTCAGGCTGGCCCGGATTTTAACGAGATTTTCCAGGCTTTGCGTAACACTATTACCACTATTACCAATTACCAATTACCACCTCTCAATAGCAGACCCATGCATTATTGATTGCATTGAAAAAGCCCAAAAGGCAGCCTCGTGGATCTCGGAACGGGATACCTCGGTCCAGTTATTCTGCACAGCGGATCACCCATTTCCAAATATATAGCACATGGATTACATCGAGCATGCCGCATGCGGCTCCAAGTCCAGATCAGGAAGGCCATCTAGAAGCGTAAACTCTGAGGCACACCCTCAAGCCCTCAGTGTCGCCGCTGGAAAGGCTCCAGAAGCAGGAGAGAAAGGAGAACCTGGGAAGATAGCTTTCTCTGTTATGGAAGTACAGCTTCCTTTCGCTTTCTCAGAAAACTTGAACCGAGGAAGCAGAAACATGTAACACATTTGAGCGAGAGACTCTATAGTACCCGGCACTTGCCGCTTCACCAAAGAACTCCCAGAGCCATTTGCTCTTGAGTAGTGCCCTTTCGTCAAGAGCAATTGGGAATCCGGCGCCTGTCGAGGGATTTAATAAGCTTCCTCTTCCAACATTTTAAATGATAGAGAGAATGAAGAATCCATGAGGAATCGTCTGTGTAGAGCAATATTCTGTAAAAAGCTGTACAGGTATCGAAATTCCCAGATCCGTGCTGGACCTCTCGCCTGAATACACATCCATAACTCCCAGCAATGCATCTACCCGGCCTCCTTAATCAAACAAAATCGTCATTCAACCTCTCGATAGCGACGACCAATTTCGTTCCCTTGCTAGGGTATATGTCGGTGAGCAATTGTCTAGCCTCTGCTCTTGGTATTAAGGATAAGAGCCACAATAAGTCTGCCCTTGTAAGTACTCGAACCAGTGCAAGAGGTAGTATCACACTGACCCGTAAAGCCCCAGGACTTCTCCGAAAATGAGGATAAGAACCATTCCGACGAAGATCCTCGACTGTTGCATATACGATCGCACTCCCATATCTCCTACAATGCCAATGGCATATCCAGCGGCAAGTCCGGTCAAACCAACCGAAAGTCCGCAAGCAAGATGCATGAATCCACTAGCGGTTCTGTTAGCTTGCTGAGCCTTTTGTTTTATTCATGTTGCTTGAAGTTCCCTACTTGAACAAGCTGTAATTCTGGTCAGGAGGTGGGCCCATGTCTCCTGCAATCAAAACCGCAATGACTAGCGAATAGACTGCGATGATACCAGACATGACGACGGGAATGAGTGACTGCAATGCCGTATATATTAGCAGATAATTCGTCAAGTATGGTATGTCCAACGATCGGTCCAAGTATCCAACACACCTTCATTATCAGATCCGGTCTGAATGTTCCCACTCCCGCGATTCCAATGCCTGATTTCGCCGTGCCGTAAGCTGCTCCAATGCCTATCCAAGATATTAGTTAAGCAGCACCGCTTGCCAATATCGAGATTCGCCTTACAGCCAAAGGTCATGGCGAAACAGATGCCAGCCTGCCGAAGCTGTCAATACAATGCTTCCTGCCTCATAGATAGGTTTTTACTCACCATTCCGAAGAACGGGGCGAACTTGGGGGAGTAGTCCACTTCGTCCATGGTGATTCTGATGTATCTGCGGGCGGCGCGGGAGCTGGTTGATAGACAAGTCGTCTGGTCCCACGCGGCCACTGGAACTAGGATAGGCGCGCTACTGTGACTAAAGTATATGCCACGTGACCAAAGCGACAGTTGAGAGATCCTTGGCGGGGCTGGGCTGGGCTGCGTGTTTCGCGAGAATACCGACCCTTCCACCCATCGTCGCAGGCTTCATCCGCAACCACTGATCAGTCGCGGCCCTTCAATGTGTATCCTTCCCTCAGAAAACCGATTCGCGACTAGCACCAACAGACGCTGGGGCTGTTGAACGTTGCTCGAAGTGGAAGTCCTGCCCAGGCCAAGATCACCACAGCGTATCTCTCCAGCGACAACACGGAGTAATTGGTCGACCTGCGACGGGACTCGTCGGCGGCGATTAGACAAAGGGGCGTTCTGAATTCCAAGTCGGAGCACGGGTGGTAGCCCTCGGCTTGTTAAGCCCGTGTTGCACCTCGAATAGCGACAGAAGGGACAGAACGGTGGGATCAGAGGCTGTCATAGACAAGCAATATGGCAGACTATCCACCAGGGCGACAAATTCCACCTCGTCCTAACCAATATGGCCATTCTTCGAACAATGAGCGAGAGGCCGCCTACTCCAACATTTTCGGTGCCCCTCCTCAAGGCAGATCTCAGACCATGTCTTCGTCCACCGCTCATCCGGGACCGATGAATCATGGTCGCACCCAGACGATGAGCTCGCAGGCTTCTGGGCAGTATGATGGGATACAACGGTCACCCCCTCCTCGCCAGCAGGAAGGTGGATATCCTCAGTCGTCCGGATACATGCCTAATGGCGGCGGTATGCAGAATGGGTACCATCAAGGATCAAGACAGCCGGCCCCTGGCCAAGTTCAGTCACAACCACAACCTCAATACCTGCCTCAACAAGTACGGCCAGATCGTCGGCCATATGCATCTCCAAATCGGGTCGATCCTCGTGGCCCTCCTCAGCAAGCTCAGTTTGCACAGAGAAATCCTGCACCTCGCTATCATTCTGGTAACCAACCTGGGCCGGCAATGAACTCGGATCCATACCGATCACAATCTATGGCAAGCATGACAAGGCCTCAGATGAATGGACCAACACCCACCAACTATCCACAGGCACCAGCAAATGCGTTTAGGCAGGCACAATACTCATTTGCTTCTAGCCAAACCGCGCAAGGTCGTGTTGTGCCACAAAGAAATGACGAGCGGGCGATGTCAATGACTAGCTACCCTCCGCCTAATGATCAACATCAGACAATGAGCGGGCGAGTGATTCCCAACAGAAGGACGGCCTCTCAATCCGGGCAAGGAGCGCAAATGAACGGCATGCCAATCATTGCCCCAAGAAGCCCTGCTACACAGACTCGGACTCCCAGTATGGCTTCAAGTACGGTGGGAGATACAAGTAGGACCATGTCTATGGCCTCGACAATAGCCGCAAGTGAACGAACCGACTCTCTCGCCCATCGCCCATCCGTGGCCACATCTGTAAGCAGCGGCAAGGAAAGGCGGCAAAAATCCCCACTTGTGTATCCTGCCTTGTTGTCACGAGTTGGCGAATGCTTCAGAGACAAGATTACCGTCGGGGACAGGACGAAGAACGACCTCACTTACAAGAATGCGTTCAGTGGAGCGGACGCCGTTGATGTGATATCCTACATCATCAAAACCACCGACAGAAATCTCGCTTTGCTCCTCGGTCGCGCATTGGATGCTCAAAAGTTTTTCCACGATGTTACATACGACCATCGACTCCGTGACTCCGCAACAGAAATGTATCAATTTAGAGAGACCATGATGGATGAACCGCACGAGGCTCCGGATGTCAACGGCGTTTTTGTTCTCCTTACAGAGTGCTATTCTCCAACATGTACAAGGGACCAGCTATGCTACTCGATTGCCTGCCCAAGAAGATTAGAGCAGCAATCAAGGCTGAATCTCAAGCCGCAGCCTGGACTTCGGAAGGAAGATGACGAGGCCAGTTTGCATGACGATAATGACGCCCCTGATGAGCAAAAGCTTTGGATTAACACTGTATCGCAAGAAATTGCTGATAGTGTTAGCGAGCGGGAGAAGAAGCGACAAGAAGTTATCTCTGAGATCATGTATACAGAGAGAGACTTCGTAAAGGATTTGGAATACTTGCGAGACTTCTGGATCGTGCCCCTACGTTCTTCGAACCCGGCGGCACCGTCCCCGATTCCGGAATCAAGAAGGGACCGTATCGTCAAAGAAATTTTCACGAACATTGTTGATCCTCCAAGTATCCATGCGGTCAGTTCCAGATTTGCTGATACTCTAACCAAAAGACAGCAAAAGCAACCTGTGGTGCAGTGCGTGGGCGACATATTTCTTCAATATGTGCCACAATTCGAACCCTTCATCATCTACGGGTCCAACCAACTGTCTGCTAAATTCGAGTTCGAAAATGAGCGCTCTACGAACCTTCAATTCTCCAAATTTGTAGATGAGACTGAACGCCGAAAGGAGTCGAGAAAACTAGAACTCAACGGTTATCTGACCAAACCTACAACCAGACTCGCTCGCTATCCGCTTTTGCTGGAGAATGTCAACAAATACACGGAACCTGGTAGTCAAGACCTCGAGGATATCCCAAAGGCGATGAAGATGATTCGAGATCTGTTGTCACGGGTCAACGCAGAATCCGGAAAAGCGGAAAATCGGTTCAATTTGAAGAGACTTCACGAGCAGCTCAGGTTCCGACCAAACGAGCGTGTGGACCTGAAATTGACAGACCCCGGGAGAGAATTGGTTTACAAGGGTACCTTGAAGAAGGCCCCAACGGATCCAACAGCAGACATACAGTCCTACCTCTTCGACCATGCAATGCTTCTTGTCCGTAATAAAATTGTTGGCAAGAAGGAGGAGCTCAAGGTGTACCGAAGGCCTATTCCGCTCGAGCTGCTGTCAATTCGTGAGATGGAGGAAGTTAATCCTAGGTTTGGTGTTGTGAAGCGCCCCTCTTCGAGCTTGATTCCCGGAGCGAAGGCGACGACAGCTGACAACTCCAAAAAGGAGGGGTTTCCGATCACCTTCAGACATCTCGGCAAAGGCGGCTACGAGTTGACTCTCTATGCAGGAACCCAAGGCTCGAGGCAAAAGTGGATGGAGCATATTGGGGACCAACAAGCTATTTTGAGGAAACGTGGAGACTTCTACAACCGATCCATTATATCGTGCGATTTCTTCACGGCCGCCAACAGAGTAAATTGCGTGTCGCCCTTCGGTATGTGTCCAAATTGAATATTTACTCACAACTAAACTTACAAAATGCAGATGGTGGGCGTAAACTCATCTACGGAACTGACTCCGGAATCTATGTTTCAGATCGTAGGTCAAAAGATTCAGCTGCTAAGCCTGTGAGGGTACTAGACGCCACGAATGTCACCCAAATCGATGTTCTGGAGGAGTATCAATTACTCTTGGTGTTGTCGCAGAAGTCTTTACTTTCTTACCCATTGTCTGCTTTGAACCCCGCCGAGTCGCCCTTGAATAAGAGACCCAAAAAGATACAGAGTCATTGCAATTTCTTCCGTACGGGAATATGCTTGGGACGACATCTCGTGTGCTGTGTGAAGTCTTCGGCACTCTCGACGACGATCAAAGTCTTCGAGCCCAACGATGCTATGTCTAAAGGCAAGAAGCAAAAGGGTTTCAAGATGTTTAACAGCGGACAAGATGAGCTCAAGGCATTCAAGGAGTTCTACATCCCAACGGAATCTTCATCGATACATTTCCTCAAGTCGAAACTCTGTGTGGCATGTGCACGTGGATTCGAGGTGGTTTCCCTTGAGACACTAGAGACACAGTCTCTTCTAGATCAAGCCGACACATCTTTGGATTTCGTAGCTCGAAAGGAGAACGTGCGACCTATCCATATTGAACGTCTCAACGGCGAGTTCCTTCTCAACTATTCCGAGTTTTCGTTCTTTGTCAATCGCAATGGCTGGCGTGCAAGACCGGATTGGAGGATAGACTGGGAGGGCCAGCCGCAGAGCTTTGCGCTTTCGTACCCTTGGATATTGGCGTTCGAGCCCAACTTTATCGAGATCAGAAACATCGACACCGATGGAGTACACATTGTGCCACATAAGAGCATCCGTATGCTGCACACAAGCACACGAGAGGTAAGCTTCAAGATGTAATTATAACGTTCCAAGCACACTGACATAGGAACTAGATACTCTATGCATATGAAGATGAGCGTGGTGAAGACGTTGTGGCCGCCATCGACTTCTGGGGGGCCGGTAACCGGCAATCATCTCTAGTGCCTTCAGACCGCGATTCTCTAGGACCTTCGCAGGCTTCTTCACGGCACTGAACTTAACGAAGGAAGGAACCGTGACGCTTTTGCCGGAGCACCGCTCTTGTAGAATTGCATGTAATACCTTCTCCAAGTCCCAGTTCTCAACCTCTTTTTTTCGGTACATTTCTCTTTGGTAGTGTGTGCTGGACATACCCTTTATATCCAGGCATATGCCGGAATGAGTGGTTTAGATGAACGGGGCATGATGGGACGTGTGTGTGAATGAGAGCAGGGGCCTGCGTGGTGAGAGCATGAGAGCATGGGGATGTGTGCGACCTTGGTCCTCTTTTTGGCACCGAAGCGATCGGTCGGCGTCTTGATGGGATTTCTGGTTCAGGGGGCGGAGAAGCAAGCAATTCATGAACGGCGACATACTATTTCTTGTAAATTTTCTGTAGTCTTAAGAGTAGATGGTGTAAATCGAGCTCTCGCTTAGCCCTTGTGCCCCGTTCTTAAGATGGGTCTTCGCTCGTACTTGCGAGAATTGAAGAGCGAGGCGGGAGTCTGGTAGTGACCAGACTTGATGTTTTGGAGGCACGGTTGTAGTCATTTCTCCCTCGCACCACAGAAATATATTACTTTTTCAACGCTCAACTTCTTTCTCTGCTGGTTTGGAATCAGGCATGGCGTTTTGGTGGCTGGGTAGGTAGCTATTTCCGCTCGCTCTTGTCTGCTCGTCATTTATTACTCTCATAGCACACCTCGGAAACTCTTGTCGTACAATTCGCTGCGGGGTCTTTATCTCTTGAAGCCCAGTAGAGCATCTCGTTCTCTTTTCGTTTGCCCATCTCAAGTTACTTTCGCCTTATGTTTGCTGAAGATGCGGAATGAGGCACGATTGCGAATTCACCTCTGGATATAGGAAGCTTTGCCGGATAGCGACTACGCACACGAATCAAATATTCAAAGCGCCTCACTTGGAGCGTTCATGCTGTCAGGTCCCAGTCATGGGCGACTGTGCAACTCTGATGGGCCATTCGGCTGCTTCCCGAATGTTTCAACCCTAAAGCTCCCTCCCAGCACAAACTGAAACCCAAACAGCCGATGTCAACCTATCCGCTTTACCTTGGCAGCGTGTGGCAAAGGACGCAAGGATCCAAAGACGCATCTGGACCGTCGCCATATAAAACAAACAACATCCGAAACTCTCCCGGAAGAGAGTGAGCTAATGCTTATATTTCGATTCCTGCCACAAGTCTAGTATAGATGTGGATAGGGCCGTCATCTGGGAAGGCGAGTGCGAGATCAGACCCGGCGGGACGCTGGGTGTAACAACTCGTGCGTGGTGTCCGGCCCGTCGTAAACAATCCTCGTCGCGGCTTGAAAAGGCCTGATCTGCGGATAGTGCAGAAGGAAAGGAAGGGAGACTGTTTTCCGGAATTCCTGATTCAAGGGTTGGGACCGCCGACGCTGGCTGCACGCGATGCACGACATATCTTCCTCTTCCTGTTCGGAGAGTGTTTTGCAGCCGCGGTTGCATGAATTTGATGAGAAGTATATGTTTCCGATACACATATTTAACTTTCAATAGGTGGTGGATGTGCTCAGGATATATGTGATATAATACCGTGTCCCTTTAGCTGAGCAAAATCAAAGATCTACAAATCACTCACCAACATCAAACCACTGGAACGTGAAACTATAGACAATTCACTATTATGTCTTCACACTCATACTGTGCAAACTACTATGTAAGTGCTTGAACCCTCCTGCAGTGGTCATTTTATCTGACCGGGATGCTAGGGCTCCATCAACTGCCACAACACAGTTATGAAATTTGGGGATCGATGTGCTCTGTGCACGGTAAGATGGTATTCAGAGAGATGGCATTACAAGCTTACTAAAGCCCAAGCACAGAAAAACTACATCAACACATCAAGCGCAGAACTCCTCGAGAACGGACTACCGCAAGCGAACCAGCAGTGGGTCGAGAATGTCAAGAGAGAGCAACTACGACGAGAAGAGGAGAAGAGTCGAAGGGCCAGAGTGAGCAGGACTAGCTCGGGGATGGTACGATAGAGACGCGAAGTTGTGAAAAGTAGTAATCACGATGGCTGGAAATATTGATATTAGCGAGATGGATATGGAGAAAAGCGAATATGTGAAAACGGAGATGGCTGGATACACTGGTTTAATGGGATGAAGGATGTGCAGAATATAGCAGCGTTTGAGATATACGGATAAGGAATAGGTAGATCCATCCATTCATAGATAATTTAATGGCTGTGCCATAGGACAATATACAAAGTCATAATATACAACATAAACCCAGACGTCAAGTCCGTACATCGTGTATCCTGAACGCCGCTTTATTCATGCAACAGCCGTGCAATTCAACCTACTATTCCCAGAGTTATCATCCGTCCCATTACCACATCCGTCTCCTATATCCTTTGAAACCCTCTCCCTCGCCTTCTGCCACTATCTGCTCTTTGATCCTCCTTCTCCTTTCGGCGGCACTAATTGGTTTCTCTTGCGGCTTTGAGACAATAGGCGGTGTCCCGCCCGGGGAGTCTCCGGACCCTGAATTAGAAATAGGATGCTGTAACTCCTGTTCTTTGCGCTGTCGAGCCTCCTCGGTCTTCTTCTTCCGGGCAGCTTTCTGCCACCTTGTCGCCCCAACCATATCATCACTCGCTTCGTCTGTAGCTTGCTCGTCCCCCTCCGCGCTCGAGTCCCCTCCACTTCCGGCAGCCCGGTCCCCAAGAGCATCTCTGCCCGCCTCATCCTGTATATTCTGGGTCTCAACCTTGATCACATCGACAAGATAGCCATCCTCTGTAAACTGCGGCGGCAGGTACAGATCCGGACCTGGCTTCGGTCTGTTGAGCTGCGGTTTGATGGCCGCCCGCAAGTCGCGGACAGTGGCTTGCTGGAGCACGTACCCACTGAGGAATAGAGCGGTGGTGAAGAGGAACACTAGGATCTGGTCAGCCGGTGCCGAGGAATAGGGAATGCAGTGCACAGCATAGTGTGAACACGATTTTGAACATACCGATTCCAGAAGAGATAGCCACTGAAACCTGCCCGGATGTGATGAGCATTCTTTGGTCGAAGCAGACTGTGGTCAGGGGCTTTTCTTCGAATACGTATATAGATCAATGAGCAATTAAGACGTCTGGATCGAAGGGCTTGATGGATTACACCGTATAAAGAGTTGGATGGTTGTTGCTGCCAAGTGTCAATAAGGCCGGCTACACGTTGGAGCAGCAACAATCGCGATAAGGATTTATATTTTGCCGATGATGCGTATTGTCTCGCGTCGACGATAGTCCCACCTCGAGATTGGAATAATCCTGCCACTGCGACCTCCGGCCAATTCTCTAAGAAGAATTGTAAGCGCAAAACTCAGATTTATTCCCCAGTAAATAACGATACCTACTCGCAGCAAGTACACTACAATGGCCAACCACCGCGCTGACGAAAAGCGTTTCCTCGACGAGCGCGGCTCTGGAGGACCCCTCGCGCCTAATGGCCTGAACCCGGCCACGATCATGGAGAAGCCCGTCCGCGAGCGCATCGTCGACTGCTACTTCTGGAAAGACCAATGCTTCGCCGTGAACGAGGCCGACATTGTGGACCGCGTCGTCGCGCACGTCACCTTCATCGGCGGCACGTACGGCGACGCGCAGCGGCCCTCGCCCTTCCTCTGCCTCGCCTTCAAGCTCCTGCAGCTGGGCCCGACGGACGAGATCCTGACCGAGTATCTCGAGTATGGGGGCGAGAAGTTCAAGTACCTGCGGGCTCTGGCGATGTTCTACATCCGGCTCACGAGGCAGGCGAAGGATGTGTATCGGCTGCTCGAGCCGTTCTTGGCGGATTATAGGAAGTTGAAGAGGAGGGGGCGGATGGGGACGAGCTTGACCTACGTGGATGTATTTGCGGATGAGCTGCTGGTGAAGGATAGGGTGTGCGGTACGACGTTGTGGAAGATGCCGAAGAGGGAGATACTGGAGGACCTGGATGTATTGGAGCCGCGAGTCAGTGCTCTCGGGGAGGATATCGATGCGCTGCTAGAGCAGAGTGACGAGATGAATGGCGGAAACGGTGATAGGAGCGGTAGCGAGAGGAGTAGGAGTCCTGGATCCGAGTTCGGGGAGGTCACGCCAGATGAGAGAGATGAGATGGAGCTTGATGGAAGGGAGAAAAGTACCAATGGAGACTCGTGATTTTGAGCAGTGGAGTATGGAGTACGGAGTAGTAGAGGAGCGTTTTGACACGGAAAAATATACCCAGATTTGCGTTCCCATATCGTTGCTTGTAGTGCGCTTGCGATCCCGCGGGTACTTTCGCATGTCCCGGCTTCTATCCTGAACAACTGTCGACCAAGCCCGCAAGCTCTTTTTCATATACGGCGATACGGCGAGAATTCTGTTATCTTCTGTGATATTCTCCTAAGTATCACGAGAATATCACATTGAAACATTATTTCAAAGTGTAGCGCTGCTAAATAAGATCCAGCCCCAACGGTGCTCGAAAACGGAAATGACTGCAACACGGGTTTTCTATATACCTTTTCACAATCGAGAGACTTTACTGAAGTCCTGGCCTACTTCTGACTCAATCATTGTACTAGCCCAGGCTGAACACGGACCGAAACTCGAAAGTGACGGCTCTTGAACGGAGATATATTTAACCTACGATGACCTATAAAAGGGTTCCAAATATCACTCGGCATGGAATAAGATTATATAAAATCTCGCAGATGCTATCCACTATATACTTTAACTTGAGCTATGCCCTAATACTTATCCCTTGTTCACACTGACGGTCTTCTAACTTCTGATCAAACCAATAGAAAATTGTGCTCCCTTACAAAGCCTACTTATGACATAGAAATTTGAAAGAGCCAAAAATTTTGTGCAAAACTCAGCTGAAGCTTTTAACCGCGGGATGTTACAAGGTCCAGCTTACAAAATCAACCCAATGAGCTTTTTCGTGCTATAATGGTACATACACAACATTATAGACATATTGATTTCTGTCTCTGCCGGAAACCTATAACAACGCGAGGTTACCTGGGTTTCCAGCTTACAAATCCAATCGAATTGAATGGATCTGTACCGTATTGTATCATAACGGGATATACACCATACTACAAACTTGTCCGCCAGCGAATGAGGCGGCGGCTCTTGCAAGCAAGCCGCTGAGCCACCGCCCCGAATCACCAGTTGATAGAAGCTGGCGTGGAGTTTAGTTTAATAGAGTAGATCGTTTTCTTCTTTTTTCACTGCTTCTTTCCCAAGCGCTTAGCGGAGGCGGACTGGATTATTTCCCTGTCAAGCACGTCAGGCACGTTACAAAGTTACCAAAACTACTGAGCAGCGTACAAATACAAACCCGGTATGATTCGCAGTGCAAGTATCATCGCTTTATTTACTTTCGTAAAGTGCGGTATTTTCCAAGTCTTATACTGCATTGGATTCATCGATCATGAATATTTCTTTTTATTTCTTTCCGCTTGCTTATTGGGTGGACTCGACGATATTATCAGCTAGCTCGGACTTTGAAAGGAAAAACTGCTGCATGAGATTTTACAAATGGGATCTTCAAATTAAATTTGCTTATTAATCTTCAAACTAAAGCTGAAAGGGCCGAAACTAGCTGATAGATTGTAAGTTCTGCAAAATACGTGCAGGTAGAAATCTGCTTTGTTGGCGTCGTAAAGAACATAAATCACTTTGATATTTGATATTTCGTATTTGTTGGCGAAGGGTTTGATTAGAGGTTATAAAAAGTGTTAAAGCTTATATACGATTTATTCAAATGCTGTAGCTCTCTTATCTTCGTCCGAAACGAATTGATAGCAAAAATCTCGACAAGAAATACAATATCTTGAGCCACAGTCCCTCTCCTGGAGCTTTTCATCCACTCTGAATCCCCAAGCTCCCTCGATCCTCCTCTTCACCTTCCATTCGTGAGTTCATCCAGCCTCTACCCCTGCCCTCCTAATCGCCCATCTGCGCTAATAGCCAATCCCACCTCTTATCTTCCTTCTCTAGCACATCCTCCAAGCCTTCTCTCCTTCTTCGCTTATTTTCTTCGGCAGCTAACTCCCCTACAAGCTCCGGATCCTCGCTAGTCCGCTTTACGCGCTCGAGCTCCTCGTCTTTCATCCGTTTTCTCATCTGCGCGATGCCGTCTTCGCCGCTGAGTGCGGAGAAGAGGAGTGTGGATTGTTTTTGGATTTTCTGCGCGGTTGCTCGGCGGGAGGCTACGGAGTGATAATGGCGTGCTTTGGGGTGGGACAGGGAGGTCGACGGCATGGTTGTGGAGGAGCGAAAGTGGTGTACAGAGGTCACGGAAGGGTTTCTTGAGATACGCAGAGAAGATGGCGTGGAATACGGAGATGGGAGCCCACCGGATGGACGGGGCGTTGAGGAGGTTGAGGAGGGTGGAAGCATTGAGGTGTAAGATGGAGCGGCGCTAACGTAGCTGGGAGCTGCTGAGCGGATCGAAGCTATTTCTAAGTCTTGAGGCGTTGATTGGCATCGGGGAGCGTATGGAGGCGGTGAGTCCATTCTTAGATAGTCGAACTGATCCGATTGCTGATTTGACTTGTCGTGGAGAGAGGAGCAAATGTGTGGCTGACGGGGGTAGCTGTTGCGTGCCTGCGATCGCCATAAGCTACTACTTCAGCTGAGGTAGACGAATAGAGCACCTGATATTTCAATGGCAGTAAGAATGAAAGAGGTTTATATTTTTTCTGAAAATGCCAGTGACGGTTCTTTGCTCGGATAGCGGTTCAAGAAACCACGGCCTACGCTATAAGCAGTTTAGTGTATGGTCTAGCTAAAGCTGGTCATCGCATCAAAGAGCCCCTCTGGGGCCGTCAACTATTCATGCCTGCTTGTTGGTATAAGTGACGAGAATAATGAAATATTGGAGAGGGAGCTCGTTTCCTTATTCTCCTCTGGAGATCAGAGATATATCCGTTATCTCCAGAGGCTCGCATCCAACACCTCGAAAATGCCTCCAAGCGTTCATGGTGTGCTAAATTGTAGGAAAAAATCGAGCAAATAATTGACCGTAAACTGAGTCGCTTAGACAAGTTCTCGTCATTGTCTTGCATAAGCTTTTGAGATCGGACTTGACAGTGGGCAAAAGATACATCAGACTGGCTTTCTCATCAGTACTCTCGGATAATGATCTCCGAGCTCTCAGCTTACTTGCTGTCAAAGAGATATACAGTACGACACCATATGCAAGAACACGACGCCACTTGCAAAAGCAAACAACGCAGAAATCATATAGATAACCAGGCGTGTCTCCCGTTTTCACTCGCTTACGCTCAAATATGGATTCCAGATAGTCAAGAAAAGATTGGGGGTGTAGTTGCTTCTTGGATGATGCTGCACGTGGATCATAATGCGAAGTCAGGCTCCTCGGCGAGAGAGCACAAGGCTGCCAAGGTAGAGCGGATGGGCTCGGCTTATTCCTGCCGAATGAGGCGGCTTATATGGAAGATACAGGTCTGTCATTCGATGTTGGGCGAGCAAGAGCTGACTGAATCAAGCTCAAGCATGTGAATTACAGGCTCCAAAAGCTTCGGCACATCGAGATGTTGTTGAGTCCTTGACCAGCCCGAAGACGATACAGCCAGACAGTGATTGAGCCCGAGGTATATTTGGCAAGTATCAACATCTATGTGAGCAGGGAACGTGGTTATCATAGTTGATATGGGAATCGGTGAGAGGGTATTGAGGATGATGTCGATAGAATCCAGCCAAGACGCTAGCTGGAAACGACTCTTAAGTGAACCTCCATTCCTCTTTCAGCTAGTCAGGTAGGGAGGCTCAGCGACAAGCAAGTACCGACAGTAAATATCCTTATCCTTTTGGGCACAAGCGGACAACGAATATAAGGTTCAATACTCGGCGTACTATTATATTGAAGCGTGGATGCGACAGCAGGCTGTTCGCCCGGGACAAGTAGGATGGGTTGACTTAGGCAAGACGGCAGCCTGTTGGGCGTTGTGACAAGGCAAAGACGCTAGACCCAAGCGCTTCTCATCATCTGTATAATTTTCTTTAAGCAGTAGCTTGCAGAAGCGTAACAGTAGCAAGGCAAAGCAGAGTGTTCAAATCTTATCATGACAAATTACTGGACACGACCACCAGAGGTGTGAAGACGAGTTGTGATTGCGGATCGACCGATAAGATGAACAAGGATACAACGTTGAAGAGCGCTCGGTATACGACATTCGGATGCAGGCGATGAGACTCACTTGTGCATAGCCCGTGAAATGAGAAGAACAAGAAGTGCGCGCAAAATGAAGGTGGATGGGATAGTCGGAAGCAAGGCGGACAGACGAAGGAGTAAAGTCATTAAGGTGCCGGCGCTTGAGAGCATTGTTCTGTCCGAGCGAGTTCTTACTGCAAGAATAGGCTCAAGCGCGAATTCCGTCGAGTAGTACTCGGAAGAAAGTAGTGGTCTGAGCCTGGGCAGTTTTCTGAGAGCGCGTTAGAAGGTAAGGGTAGATCAAGCGGGCAAATACACGCCACAGCCAACGTGACAGAAGCCGCTCGTGAAGTTAGTTCAAAAATGCCGTCATAGCACAGTAACTTGAGCTTGAGCCTTTGAAACTTAATCTCCCTCGTTGATAGACAGATAAAGCCTGGCCCGGAACACATTAGCCCTCTGGAGTAAGGTAGGAAGGATATGCTTGTATATGTGCTATACCTTATGCCTTGCTAGCTTCCCGATGCAAGTAAGAACTAGGAATCGGAAGCGAGTGTACTTCTAGCATTGAAGAGCGCAGTCTTTTTCGTTTAATCGTTTCGATTTTGGAAGGCGTGTTTTTCCTGTAGGCTGTCGAATCATTCATCGGGCTCCAAAGTTAAGCTGATATCTTTGATCGTTGACATGTAATGCACTGATCATCTTAAAGCAACGAGCAAATCAGCCTATGGTCTTTTAATATATCGTAGATATAGCTAAGGAGACACTTCCGTATCTTTACCAACGGCAGTTCCAATCAGCAGTTTCTGCTACTAATAGAAGTGCTGTATTATAGGATTACCGCGGTTGTGCTATAAAGTATGTAGTTGCTATCTATCGAAGGAGGGTGTGATAGGGTAGTTATGAAATACCTATATTGAGTGGCTATAATTTAAATAAAATCAGACGCGAGCTTTAAAGTGAGGTTTTAGACCACGACCAAGAGAGGAATATTGGTTGAAGGCGGTATCAGAGCGGTCAAAGAAAATCCGAATAGTAGTCTCCGTGCCGTGAAAGCGCCATAGAGAGTGCCGAGGGTGCCTTCTGACCGGCGAAGAATATCAGTAGACTTTCAAGGAATGAGAATTGCTCTAGTAACTTGTTCGCGGGAGACGAGCTGGCGAAGAGCTCCCGTATGTAACTTTCAAGTCTACAGTGCTGCTACCCAGGTAGCCCTAGAAACGCTGGAAACGGCTACCTTTCTGTCCCCTTGCTGATTCCGTTGGCTACGATCCAGAAAGATCTGTCAGCACTGCCGATTCAGTTCAATCGTCTTATGAAGGAGCAATAGGAACCTCCTCCCAGACTACAATATCGGGCATTAGTGTATGGCTTGGGGCCAAGATTCTCCCGGATCTTATATGTATTCAAACTGTAAGGTTCAGATAAACAAGCTATAAAAACCCATCAAACTCGCCAATCTATCCCTTCAGTTGTTGATCTTCGAGAGATCTCGGGCAGGGCCAAGTGCGAGGCACCTCAATAGGGCAACTCAGTCTATTCGCCTCTGATACTAATCAAGCCGTTGGACTTCAAGGAAGCTGGTATTTTTTTTTTTTTCGCAAGTGCAGCAGGGCTTAGCATATCCGGCTCTGCTCCACGCAGAGATAATGTTCCGGAATCAGTGTCAAGTACTTGCACGCGAGCTGCTTCGAGACAGTCAAGAATTTTGTCCGGGCAGTGGATTGTCCGGAAAACAAAACAGAAGAGGATGCATCTCTGTATGTGGGATCAGCGTGGTTTCCATCAAATTCTCAACCTTGTGAGATCTCGTGTTTCCATTATGATCAGAAGGAAGGACAATTCAAACTGCAACAAAGTAGCGAGCAAACACAGAAATGAAGGAGTGAAAAGAACATGGTTGGTTGATGGCGTAAAATGCGTCTTAGTAGTTGGCATCCACGCGCTCTTAGTTGAACTCAATACCACGCAGCCGCTATGTATCGGGAAAATCCAATTGATACCTGGATACAATCAAGCTACAAGCAATAGAGCAAGTTCCAAACTCAAGTGAGCCAACGAAATTTCATTGTGTTAACTACCTAGCATAGGAGAGAACTTGAAGTGAAATGAAGGATGTAATAGTGGGCCTTGACGTCGCAACTTTTGGGGCCCTTCCCTAAAGTGGGCGAAAAAAGTATGTCCCGCTTCAGCGCAAAAAACGGCGAGAAACGTAGACACTTATATTGCAATTAATATTGCAATTAATATATATATTTAATAATATTATTCATTTTTAATTAAGATAGGAAAATTTTATTTCACCGCGTGTCTTTTAAATTGAATTAAAAGATGCTATAAATCGAATCGACGGCGAATCTTTTTGTTTTTTATCTTCTTCAAAGTCTTTCATAAGCTCTTTTTATAAAAAAAGCATTATTTTTATTAGAAAAGACTATTTATTTTCTTACAATCTTCGTCGTCGTCGCTGATTCAAATGCAAGCTAATAGATTTTATTTAATTCGAAATCCCTTTTTTTTTTAGCAAATATTTAAAAGTCGATTGAATACAAACCGTCCGCGAACTTAGCAAGATATCTTTTTCGAAATTTTTTTAATAAAGCAAAGCAGAGAAGAGCAGAGCAAAGCAAAGCAAAGCAAAGCAAAGCAAAGCAAAGCAAAGCAAAGCAAAGCAAAGCAAAGCAAAGCAAAGCAAAGCAAAGCAAAGCAAAGCAAAGTAGAGCGAAGCAAGTTAAAGCAAAGCAGAGTAAAGCGGAGCAAAGTAAAGTAAAGCAGCGCAGCGAAAAATTAAAATATTTAAGTAAATTAAAATAGATAAACAATAAAGAGTATTTTAAAAAGGAGAAGCAAGTACGTAAGTAAATAAGTAAGTAAATACGTACGTACGTATATACTATTTCAAATTTATAAGAGATTAAAATTTTAAGAATTAAAGAAAAAAAGAAAAAAGGAAACCAAAAAAAGGGGAGAATAAAATCTTTAATAAACTTAGCTATTTAAATCTATTATACATATATTTTTTTTTAAGAAAAAAGAAGAAAAGAAGAAAGAGAAAAAAAAAGAAAGAAAAAAAAGGAAAAAAAGGATTTTTTTTTTCTTTTCTTTTTAATTAAGATTAAAACAGACTCTAAAAAGACTCTAGCTTATTTTTTTGAAAATATAATATTAAATTATCAACGTTTTTCGCCGTTTTTTACGCTGAAGCTTGAAGCGGGACAGACCTTTTTCGCCCACTTTAGGGAAGGGCCCCAAAAGTTGCGACGCCAAGGCCCACTATTAAGTCTGTCTTGATGCTTACTTAAAACCTTGTCACTAGCGGGCTTTCAAGTTCCTTAGCCTTGCTGCGAGGCTAGACACCTTCCTCCTGGATGTCAACGAAAACCACCATCCGTCCAGTATGAACAACCTCCGCTGGCATCCTTTATGACAACGTGCTATTGCTTTACTTTGTGCCATCAATAGTATCAATAGTTGACGTGGAGGTAGTCCATACCGCTTCGAGTTTCAAAGGCCATGGATTAATGTACAACCGGAACGAAGATGTCTTGCCAGTTGAACGACCCAGCCGACGCTCAGCGCTACAATCTCGCGGTCAACAAATGGGCGGGACGATTTATTCCACTATTGCTAACTGCGACTGTTGGGTATGCGACCTATGTTCTTGTCTACCAGCTATGTGGTTCGTCTACCGTTACCTGCGACTCATCTCGATGCTGACTTTGACGCTGCAAGTCAAGTATCTTCTAGATAAGCATAACGATAATGGAGCTGCTATTGCAGTCCTAGTGGTCTACTTCATCTTGTTCCTCTTTATGGTGGCCAGCTACTTCCGTCTCACTCACCTTACATTCTTCCGCCCTCCTTTCGTGCCCCTTGGATCAGCGGCCATCCGCGCTCGAGAAGCACGCCGTCAAGCAAGGAATAACAGGAATATAGAGGACGAGATTGGTGGTGGTCAATACAACGATAGCGATGATGGTCAAAACGACCCGAACAGTCCGGGCTTGGAGCTTTTCTACTCGAAGGATGTGTTTGTCTGCGATCCAAACGGCAAGCCTCGGTGGTGCTATCACTGCAAAAATGTAAGAAGCCGGAGCTCCAAGCTACATAGCTTTTGCATTGTTCAAAGACGGCATGCTTGCGGTTATTGACTCTGGATATAGTGGAAGCCCGATCGCGCTCATCACGATAGTAATACAAACCGATGTGTTAGAAGGTTGGACCATTTTTGTCCTTGGGTAGGAGGTCCGGTTGGAGAAAACAACATGAAGTTTTTCATCCAATTCGCTTTCTACGCGGCACTGTATTGTGTTCATTTGCTAGTTGTGATGTCGTTCTACATCCACAAGCAGATATCCAGAGAGGTATGCCTCGTTTCACCTGAATATCTCTATGTATTTTTATAGTTGACCGACCAACTGTTCATTAGGGTGAACGTGTCAATGCACAGGTCGCTGTAATACTGGGCCTGTAAGTCGAGAATGGCACTTACATTGCTAATATTGCTAACGTATACTAATTTAATTGCGTAGAGCTGGATTTTTTGGCATCTTCACAGGCGGCATCTTTTCAACCTCCGCCGAATACGCTATGAAAAATAAGACTTTGATCGAGGGCGTTCAGATAGCGAACAATAGACGGGTCACCTTGGCGGTGATCAGGCCTCCGCTGCAACAACTTCAGCAGATCGATCCAGCTCTAGCTTCGAATCCGCCATACACAGTGATAACTTATCCTTTACCGATTGGTGCACCACTAAATGGCCCTCGTCCAGGTCTTCCAGGAAGAGCTGATCCTCTTATCAGAAATGAGGCAATGAACCAATGTGACCTGGCACCAGGAATTCCAGTTCAGAACGAACTGAGTGAACACCATCCCGATCCGCCTCGAGGACAAGGGGCCGAGGCTGTTATTTCAAAAACAGTCATGGATGTCCCCGTAGCGAGTGGGACAGTTGATGGCCGACCTTCTCAGCCGCAAGCCCAAAGGGATCTTATGGCTACTCGTACGTTTGGAATACTTGGCATGGAAAATTTCGGAAATCCGTGGGATTTGGGCAGCTGGCATAAGAATTTCCGAACTATCATGGGGATGAACATTGTCGATTGGTTCTTTCCGGTCAGAATGAGTCCGTGTTGCAATCATGATAGTGGAGATAGCCAGTTTGCCCTTGGCCCCCCAGTTGACGACGCCAAAAGAAGGGCAGGATTCCTTGCCCCAGTTGCGCAAGTTAACACGATAATTCCCGAACCAGCTCAGCAGGAAAAGCAGCGTCTGCATTCAAAACAAAAATCTGGAGCCCAGGATAACAATAACCCCATCCCGCCTCCGCAGCAGCTGGAAAAGCTTGATGAGCAAGGTAGAAAACAGGAGAGCACTGGAAACAGTTCCGATGCAGTTAGTGGAACTTGAGGATGCCCACTGCCTCGGGCACGTGTCTGTACAAAGCATTTTATTCGGTTGTTCTTACGCATGGAGGGGGCGTTTTATGAGCATAGAGGGCGGGCTGTTTACATAATGATTGCTTTTTTATATATACCATAATGAGGGAGTGCCTGGGAAAGACGCTAGACAGAGGTCAAGGCTACGGAAGAATAGATACCAGAACAGTATTCATATCGTTCATTGGCAGTATCAAAATGACATTACTTTATAAGACCGCAGGCTCAAAGGTTGGGATGCTAGGAGCCTAAGATACATCTGCTAGTTAGGCTTGATTCACGTAAAAAGATCCTTTCATCATTGATTAAAAATAACTAACTACAAGTACTTGTTGCTCTTCAGATACTCACCTCACTTCTGACATCCTCGATACACTTTCCACACCTTGACCGAATATGACGAAGCCCAATAGCTCGATTTTTAAGCCCTCCAGCTTTTATGGAAACATCGACGACTGGTTCGGCAACTTTATTGGTTTACGGTGCAGTAGTGGTGGCACTTCACATGGTCATAGTCAGGGCAGTCATCTACCTGCATAACCATGATATTGTGTATGGTGAGACGACACCCATTTTGTAGGAATTCCAACACAACAACCCATTTCTCGCCTATCACACAGTTTTTCTAAAAAGAAGCGTGCATCCAACTCGTACTCCAGTCCTATTTGGTTCTCTCGTCTCTTGCTCGCTTCCCATAGTACTCGTTCCTGCAGGCCGTCAACACTCAACCGGATTACAAAACTCCGTGGACATCTCACATCTTCTTCCCTCGGTCTGCTTCTGTTGCTTTCCCCTCGAGTCTGTCAAGTGCTTCTTCTATCAGACCGATGTGGCCACGAAGGGTGCCTTCGAGTTCGTCCTATGAGGATCAATCAGGATGTTTCTTGATGAACAAATTTTAACGTCAAGACGAAGGGGTCGTTGATGTGTAAATGCGGGCAAGGTAACTCGAGGGGGATTTCTATGAAAGTCGACACCACTATCCCGATCTGTGAAGTAAGAGAGAGTTCATGCATGTTGGAGGCCACCAAGTGTACCTGTATACAATAAAATACCTTCCTTCTTCGAAAGCGGAAAAGGGGGTCGGGAAGCACGACTATTGCTGATGAGATGAAGACTGAACAGACGCTTTCAACTGACCATTCTTGCTTCGTGGTCTTCCGAAAGCTCGATCATATGTGACCGTAACAGATATGTACTTCCACCAAGACCTAAGAAAGTGGTGGCATTCAGAGCGCCAAGCACACCTGGATTGCGGAAGAGAGATAGGAAAAATGACATATTTGAATGGAGAGCAATAAGTCAATAAAAATAGTCGAACGTAAGATACAGAACTTTACAATAGACTAATATTACTATAGAACCTACTTGATTCAATGTCTGCATTAGGTGGTGACATCACGACTGCTCGTTGGGCCACGACGCGAGCCGCTGCTAAAATCCCGTCGCGTCTCCCCATCCAAATGTTTTCCGCCGATTAGCATCAAGACGATGCACCCCAGCTCTAACAACCATCCACGTATAATTTTCACTATGCGAAGAAATAGAATGACTGGCGAACTCCAGCAGATCTGATATCTGCGTGGGACCCCGAGAGCTGTCCGTCGCCCCGGCGCATCAACTTCAGCGACTTTGATATCCTCCTCCTTCCTAGGCCCACCACGAAGCCCCCCCCCCCCCCCCCCCCCCCCAACCTCCGCCCTGCTGCGGCTCCAATACGATGTCATCCTCACAGCAATTCCAGGCGTCATCACCGATGTCCGCAGGCGAGCCACGACGGAAGAAATCGAAGTTTACATACAGGCAGCTGGCACAACTGGCGACGTCGTCCACCACTTGCCCGTTGAGGGTTATTGCCCATGTGGATCTGGATGCTTTCTATGCTCAATGCGAGATGGTACGACTTGGAATTGAAGAGGATAAGCCTTTGGCTGTGCAACAATGGTAGGTGCAGGTTCCCTGAGGACTTGCTTCCCCCCTCATGCGACAATCAGAATCTATGCAGACGAACTCCTCGAACATTTGTTCTCTTCTGTCAGGAACGCTCTATTCTCTCTGGACAAACACATGCTAAAAGTTTGAATCACAGGCAAGGTCTAATAGCAATTAACTATCCAGCGCGTGCATTTGGCCTTGCGCGCCATGTCACTCCCATCGAAGCAAAGAAGCTCTGCCCAGACATCATTTTACAGCACGTAGCAACATGGCGAGAAGGCGACGAGAAATGGGCATATCGTGACGATGCTGCTAGCAATATTGCCACGGACAAGGTTTCCTTGGACCCATACCGCTTGGAATCTCGCAGAATCCTGAAGTGTATTAAAGATGCTTTGCCGGAGAAATATCGAAAGGTTGAGAAAGCGAGTATTGATGAGGTTTTTATGGATTTGTCTGCGCAAATCCATGCTACGCTGTTAGAGAGGTATGAGGAGCTGAGAGGCCCGGCTCCGTATGATGATCCCACGGAATTGCTTCCATTGCCGCCTACTACTGTGTAAGTGTTTCTCTTGCCTGTCTCTATAATCTCATTGTCACTCTTTGCGCGACACTAAGTCGATGATCATTGCCATCATCAGGCGCTTTGCTAGACGGTGGCTGCGAGTTAAAAGGTGTCTAAAATCTAGCGATACCATTTCAAGGAAAGCTTGGTGTGGCCAGGCACCGTGGAAGTGTATTTGCTAGCCATGCGCATCCTAATATCAGCACATTCGGTGACTTTGCTAGCTTCTTAGCTAATTCTCGTCATGATCTAGGCTAGATTGGAAAGCAGACGCTCTGGTTGACCTTGATGTCGATGAAACCGAAGAAGATGATCCGGATTGGGATGATGTGGCGATTCTTATTGGCTCCGAGATCATCCGAGACGTACGCGCTGCCGTCCGAACTCATCTGAAATATACTTGCTCCGGGGGAGTTGCGCAAAATAAGATGCTGGCGAAGTTGGGGTCGGCGCACAAGAAGCCTAACCAGCAGACTATCATTCGGAATAGGGCAATTCAGCAGTTTTTGTCAGAGTTCAAATTCACGAAGATACGTATGGCAGCCCGCCCACGAGTCTCTCAGTCCTAAGCTTACAATTTATATAGGCGGTTTTGGAGGTAAAATGGGGGACAGTATCACAGCTGCGTTCAACACGGACACGGTCCAAGACCTACTGGCAGTCCCCATTGACCAACTCAAGCAGAAACTCGGTGACGACACTGGCACTTGGGTTTATGAGATTATCCGGGGCAAAGAGTCAAGTGAAGTGTGTTCTCTTTCTGCTCAGCCATCCCACTGTGAGCCTTCGTAGGCCTATGCAGACGCTGACTCGCTTCCTAGGTAAATAGTCGAACTGCAATCAAGTCTATGCTTTCGGCTAAATCATTTCGGCCGAGTATCAATACTGCAGAACAGGCTAATCGTTGGCTCCGAATCTTTGCTGCTGATATATACTCCAGACTGGTGGAAGAAGGAGTGCTGGAGAACAAAAGGCGACCGAAGACGATCAACCTGCATCACCGTTCAGGCGGTCAGACAAAATCTCGGTCATCACCGATATCACTTGGAAAGAAGATTGATGAGGTGGGGCTGTTTGAACTCGCGAGGAGTCTGTTGGGCCAACTAATTCTGGAGGGTAGAGTTTGGCCTTGCGCTAACATCAGCCTCAGCGTAGGTGGTTTCGAGGACGGGGTAACAGGAAATATGGGAATAGGATCATTCCTACTGAAGGGGGATGAAGCCAAGGCAATGCATGTAAGTGCTCAAGAGCCAAGTAAGGGAGGTTCTGGTCCAGAAAGACCAGATAAGAGACGGCGAATCGAAGCAACGGCTGGTATTCAGAGATTCTTTGGCAAGGCGGAAAATACTGAAGAGCAACACGACGAGGATTTTGGCTCCCGAGACTTGCCTGCCATCCTCCCGTGTGAAGGGGATGCAGGCTTCGAGGGATATGAGCAGATACCAACCTGTTTCCCTCGTTCGAGTGAGGCGACCAAATTTCATGAGGATGCCTCTCCACCAGTTGGCCTACCGGCCCTCCAACAGCAGCACATTATGGATTTGGTATGCTCTCGTTGTAAGCAGGCTCTCGACTCTGCGGATGCTCTACAGAGCCATCAAGACTGGCATCTCGCAAAAGATCTGCAGGACGAAGAACGTGGGCGGGCAGTTCAGCATCCGAAAGCCTCAACGCCAGCACCGAACAAAAAGCCGGTGGGGCATTCCAACAAGAGGAAGGCTGGTCGAGGCAAAGATGAGAAAGGGCAGAGTAAATTGGCCTTTGGATGATGGGACTACAGAGTACAGATTCTCCACGGATTCGAGCTCACCGCATATTTCCCCCCAATCCCGACGTGCCACAAAGCCTGGCAGGCTCCTCACCTCTCGCCCGTGGCCTTCGACCCGGATCTGCAGATCACGAGTTGAGCTACGGCGAATTTATCGTGTCGAGTCCGGCTTAGTGTATCCTTCCCGGCACCACCGACGGTCCTGTTAAAAGCTAGATTGTATATTGTATTCTAGAAGCTAGCACGCTTCCACGAGATCAAGTCACGAGATGCGGGCTCATCAGGGGCTTCGACTGGACTTCCTCTGCACGTCAAGGATACCAACGCGATGGAAGAAGACATATGTGCTTCTCTACATCGTGGGAATTCATGGGAGTTATTCTTACTGTGTTATTGTTACTGTATTATTGTTGTCTCTTGACTTGTTGTGCCCTTCCCCCGCATATCCGAGTCCTGAGTCAGACGGAATGCCAATGGCGGCCAGCCGAGTACCGGTACCTTCCCTCCTACTTGTACTTTACTCCGGACTCCGTACACAGTGGACCGCCACGCCACAGTACGGGTACGTAGAGTGCTTGCAACCTGAGGCAGGAGTGGCGAATCAGGGTCGATGCTGTCACCACTTGTCAGTGTTAGGTATTAGCGTTGTCAGGCACGATTAGGCGGTTAGAGGAGGTTGGGTAGAAACCCGACCGACGCATCTCTACCCAACGCCTACGCCTGGCCGGGCTGCAAAAGCGGCAGCCCGCCCAGACCCGTTCGGGATCAGTGCGAGCTCAGCGAGACTTTGCCCGCTGTTCTCTCCCATCTCCAACTTCTGCAATTCTTGTTGTCTGCTTCTGCATCATTCTTCCTTCTGCTCCCACCCTCACCCTCACCCTCACCCTCCCCGTCAACTCAACTCAATTCAACTCAACTCACCTCAACTCACCTCAACTCACCTCAACCACGCCGCGACCGCCAGGACGGACATATTCCACGGACACCACCACCACACAGGATTGCGCCCGTCAGGACCCTATCTATCTACTTCTGCGAGGCTCCCCCTCTCCCTCCCCGCCCCCTCCGTCCGGTTTTTCCCATCTTGAAATCTTGAACCTGGACCTTCCCAGGCTTTCTTCTCCTTCCCACCTCCAACCCCCCCCCCCGGTCTCTGTGCCACCACACTGCTACTGCTCTGAAGCTACCGTGGTCTGCGTGCTTTGCATCTCGCTCCTGCTTTCCTGGCCTCCCCTTTCTTTCTTCTCACCACATTTTCTGCGGCCATTTCAAATCATGTCTGGAAGAGAAAGAGAACGCGACAGACGTACCGCAGTGCCCTCGGTCCGTACGAATGAGTACTTTGTTCCCAAAGATGGCATCGACAGAGAGGTCATAACGGCTGACATCTGCCGGTATCTTGGGAACGACGCTCTCGTGCGGCCGGGTAACTACGAGGTAGGCCATCGCCAGACGCCTTCGTTCATCAAGCATTGGCTGATGACTCCTAGAATCCAGCTACACGACAAGTCCAGGCAGGCTACTTCATAACTGCGTACCGGAACCTAACGACCGTAATATCGCTCCCTCAAGAACACCTTGCAGTGCACCTCCACTAACTATTCGAACAATAGGCAATGATCGCAGATCTGAAGGCAGATTCCGATCGATGGGAGGCCGAGCGAAGAGCAACCGCTCTAAGAGGACAGCCTCCCAACGGTATCTCTGCGCGAGACTCGGACGGTGCTGCTCGAAAATCTAACGCGCCTATAGTGGGGTATCGTGATTCCACCACCCACCAGTCTAGGCAATACTATGGGCCATCGGAGCAAGTGCCTGGACCTAACCCAGGATACTCGACAGCCTCAACTCCCGGGGCACAGGGAGTATATGAGAGTGGTCCCCAGTACCAGCAACAACAATATGGCCAGCCGGCATCGGGAGGATATGCTCAGCCAAGCTATGGCGCCCAGGATAATTACTATGTTGCTGGTGCAGACTTGGTAGCTGACCAGCCGCGTTCGCGCGTTCCTGTTGTTCAGGCGGGAATAAGTGTCCCAAGGAGCAATCAGTATGCTACAACCCCGACGTACCAACAACAACAACCGGACTCCAGGAGTAATAATTACTATTCTGGTCAGCAAGGTCCAGCTGTAACCCAGCCCATGCAACAAGGATACCCCACACAACCAAGCGATCCATACTACGGCCGTGGGCAGGGTGCGTACCATCACCTGCCACTTTCCCTAGCGTTCTGTTCGAACAGTCGTGTCTAACTTTTTAGTCCTTCCCGTATCTGGTGCTTCATATGATTCCGCGAATTCCTATGACAACAGTCGTCAATATCAGGACACAGGTTACAGCCAACCACCTCCGGCTTCTTCTCCAAACCTTCCAGCTACCTCCAACACCTCATCCAGACGTGAACGTGACAGAGGAGACCCAGATCCTCGTGATAGACATCACCGTAACAGTCGCCGTTAAGGACTTTTCCGCTGGACAATGCATGCCGCATCCTGGGGACCGTCTACGCAACTGCACCGCTGTTGTTTTTATTGCCTTGTTTTCCTGGAACTCCTTGATGATGCCTGGACTATCACCGGACATGTGCCCAGTCATGGAACCAGACCAAGATAGTGGGCATTTCACAGTATTTTACCAAACTTTGTTGAGTCGCAGGATTGCACTCTTTTTCCAGGATTTTCCAGGATGGCATTCATACCAAGTCCGACCTCTGTTGTATCTGGTTTGTCTATGGACTGGACCGTTTTCGCTACATGGCTACCAGAGGCGATGAATTTGCTGTGCAGATCCTCGATGCCTTTACGAATCAAGATTCATGGGGGAATGATGGGTGACATGATTTTGCGCGGTGTTACTGTCCCCAGCATTAGTAATTGCATTGTGCAGGCCGTTTGGGCGCTTGATTCTTTCTTCCTTTTAGGATACCCTCATAACCTGCTGCCTGGATCGGCATATTACCTTTGGATTTGCCCTCTGGATCATCCTCTTCTGCTTTTACCGCCAGGTGGGTATTCTGAATTTGACAGAACGATTGCATCCGAGCAGCAGGTCAAGAGGAGTTTGTATATATATCCACAAACACGATCAACTGGGAAGATTAATCTACTACCGTCATTTTACCTCACGGGATTCCACTTGGAATGATTGATCCGATGGAACTGACTTGCAAGCAATGGCGATTTGTCATGACAGACAGGTATAGTGACTCCCAGGAACGGACCATACAATCGAATCCCAAACCCATAGGACATTACCCCAGGAGACGCGGATAGCGTTTATTTTCTCCCCAAGGACTTCTTATGGACCTTCTGACTAGATCGAGATGAAATGCGATTGGCACGTTGATACGCAGCGCCTAAGCACAGGGTACCTAGAAGGTCGATATTCGGCCACCAATTCGACGACAGTTGTCCAGCTTGAGACAATGTCGTGGATATACATATCAATATATATATGTATATATGCAGGCATGCCCTCCAGACCGCCAACGAGGACCACACTATAGTCCATGGATTTATTTCCAGCACATATCAACTTCCTAAATTCTCCGGCCTCGTCCTTCTCATGAACAAAGTATACACACAACACAGCAGTCGCCGCCATAGAAAATGAGTTTGCGTCTAATGTTCTCGGATCCTCCGACGAAATATCCATCAACGTGTCGTGATACCAACAGTCATGGCCGGACCCTTGTCTTTACTCCCGGAGTTCCCCAGTTTTGCCCGTAACCGGTTTATGTCTACCCCTTGGGCACATGGCTGGCGAGCCGGTGTGAAAGGAGTTCTACATACACCTACTTTCCTACCTTACTGTTCTACCTCGGCTTGTATGCATGTAACACTTCCCTGCTTGTCATGATATTCTGGCTCGCTGGCTGGGCGTGGAGCTGACTTTTTCCCAGATCTGACAATGAGAGTAACCAAGGGTTTTGAAGACTGGTTGGTGCTGGCGAAAGCGAGACGGGGTTCTGTGGCTGCACTAAATTGATTGGCAATCGAGGGGGTTGGAAATGGAACCGTGGAGTGATCCATCTTTAGGATAATCTGGTCGTGAGGCGCGTATAGGGGAATTTGCCTGACCGAGTTTACGATGGGCAGTGATAGTACAATAATTTGCATTCGGGCGAGGCGCAAGTCCGATGACACTCACTCCCCCTTCCCTATCTAAATCTCTTTTTATCTAACGCTCTTCGTATCTCAAGCTCTTTTTCTTATCCGAAGGCTCTTCTTATCTCCTTCTTATCTCTTACAATTTCCCCTTGCAACCCGAGCTTTCGCATTATCAGCGAAGACAAGCTGTCTTTGGGCTCTTGGGTCCTTGGCCGTAAGTACCCACGTACGAATGATAGGGTATCCCAATCGAAGAAAAGGCGGGCTTCTTCTTTCTTGTTCGTGATTTGCGGAGCTTGAATACATATCCATGTCGGAGCTCAAGCTGACCGGCGCTAAGCTGACCTGATATGCGCGAAAAGATGGAGATGAATCGGTTGATGACGAAGCTTCCCGCGCCGCAACTCGCTCAACTCCGGTGCTGCTCGACCCGTACTTGGGACACTCCTGTAACGTATGTACAGTTGCTTACTGACGATGACCCTGAGATGGACTTTCTCGAATCGAATATATATCGAATGGAGAAATCCTCGCTTCGCAAGTGGCCGAGGAGGTCGAAAGGCATGTACTCTGCTGATTGGGCGTTGGCCCTCGGAGCTGGTACCATGCAGGGCAGACGCAATGCAATAGGCAGGAGCGGGCAGCTTGGTGGGATGGATGCTAAGCGCGCATATGTGGTGGGGCTTCTTGGCTGCTGATTGGAAGACTGGGTGGGGGGGGGGGCCTTGGTGGCGGAGAGCGGAGGGCGGAGGGAATGGAGGGCGGAGGGTGGAGAGCGGAGAGCGGAGAGCGTGACCACAGCGCTTACCTGCCTATGCATATGAGGAGAACGAGGTATATATATTTGATGGGGCCGTGGGTGCGCATCTCTCTTTGTGCGACGACTGCTCGGTGGTGTCTCGGGAACGGTCATTTGTAAACTCTTATCATCATGAGGTTTACGAAGGGATCGTCGGTTGTGCCGGCGCTGCTGGTGGCCGGTGCGGCTGCTGCTGCTGCTGCCAATGTTGCTGCTGCTCAAGGTGGGCGGAACGCGATTGTGGAGGATTCGCTGGATGGTAAGAGGGGTTTGGGGAAGCGCTCTATCGGCGAGGAAGGGAATTACAATATCTGTAAGTGACTCCCTCTCTCTTCTCTCTCTTCTCTTGCCCGAAAAAGATACGCTTAAAAAATGAGACTGACAAGGATGATGCGTAGCTTTCTACCACATCAACGACGTCCACGCGCGCTTAGACGAGTTCCGCGCTTCAGGGACGGACTGTACGAACAAGACGTTGGGGTGCTTCGGTGGGTATGCGAGGATCAAGACTGTGGTTGAGGAGGCGAGGTTGGGGTACAAGGATAGCTTGTTCTTGAATGCTGGGGATGAGTTCCAGGTTCGTTCTCTTCTCCCCCCCTCCTCCTCCTCCTGCTCTATGACACTGCTAACCCGGTCAGGGAACACTGTTCTACTCATACTACGGTGGTGAGAAGATCGCCGAAACCTTGAACCAGGTGAGCGTGACTCCTCTTTGTGGCCTCCAGGGCTTGAAAGTGCGGTCCTATCTTCAGATCCGCAAGAATAGATAGACCATTGACCCCGAAGACGATCTCGGACGCCCACATCACTAACCAGCTTCGTAGCTGGGCTTCGATGGAATGACACTCGGGAATCACGAATTCGACGGCGGCGATGACGCCCTCGGCGAATTCCTCGCCAATCTTACCTTTCCCATCATATCCGCAAACATTCAGTCCAACCACTCAGTCTTGAACGCGACCATCAAGCCGTTCCATATCTACCCGGAGTATGAGCTGGCGGTAATCGGGGTCACGACCGAGACTACGCCCGATATTGCAAACTCCGGGCCAGGGACGACCTTCACCGATGTAACAGAGGCGGTGCAGAGTACCATCGACTTCATCAGGTCGACCACGAATATCACGAGGATTGCAGCGCTGACGCATATTGGGTTGTGAGTACACCCAGTCTTTTTTAGAGGGGCTACGCAAAGGGGATGTTACCGCCAGTTGACCAAGAATTGAATGGCCTCTGTTGCGAGGAATGTTTTGTTCGGCAACTGGGGTGGCTACGCGAGCTAGAAAAGGCGGCTACTTCGCGAGTCATATTGTTGATTTTCTGACGAATATGATTAGCGAGGAGGACCTGAGGCTGGCTGAAGCTACCACTGGCTTGTATCTCATCATGGGAGGCCATTCTCACACGCCATTGGGGAACTTTACAGGAGCCGTCGGAGAGTATCCTACGATCAGATTGAACCAGGATGGAGAAGAGGTCTTCGTTGTTACCGCGTAAGACATCACCTTACTCCTGTGTGTCAGATGATCGAATGCTAATTGTGCTTCCCCAATAGCTACAGTCAGTATCTCTTTCGAGCTATTCAAGCAGAGACAGGAACTAACGTGCTTACTCCAGGATGGGGCGAATACCTCGGATACATTGACGTAACTTACGACGCCTCCGGAAAGATCGTCTCATACCGCGGCGCCCCCATCCATATCACCAACACCACTGAGCAAGATCCCGATCTCCAAGCCCAGATCAACGAGTGGCGGGTTCCTTTCGAGGCGTTCGCTGGAAGCGAAATCGGCATAACCAACGTCGAACTCGACAGCAACTGCCGCAACCAGGAATGTCTCCTCGGCCAGTTCATGTCCGACGCGATGCTGCAGTACCGTCTCAACCAATCGAACACCGCAGATTTTGCCGTGATAAACTCTGGCGGCATCCGCGCCTCCATCGACGTTGGAACCATCACGCGCGGGGAGGTGCTGATCAGCTTCCCTTTCGGCAACTCCGTCGTGGAGCTAGAGATGACTGGCGACGAGCTGTGGACGACGCTGGAAGGTGTGTTCACTGGCGTCAACCAGTATACCCAGAAGCCCGTGACGAGCTTCATCCAAGTCTCGGATGGCATTGAGATCTTGTACAACTCCCAAGCCCCGAACGGGAGCAGATTGGTCAGTGTGAGGATCGGCGATGCAGATCTGGTGAGGACGGATGCGTATAACGTCGTCACGATTGATTTTCTCGCTGGTGGTATGTCAAACCCTCCCATCCTCCTCTCTCCCTCACTGTACTTATTCAGCTCGCTCTTGCCACTTTCTGTGTCCATCTCTCTCTCTCTCTCTCTCTCTCTCTCTCTCTCTCTCTTCTGCTTTGCATGTTGGAGCCACGGGCTAACAGGAACGATGAACAGGCGGCGACAACATCTTCCAGACGCAATCCGACATCACAGTCCTCGATACTCAGGACGAAGTCCTAGACAACTACATCGAGGCTCAATCGCCGATCTCCATCACGCTCACCCCGCGGATCGTAGATACCAAGAACAGCACCAATAGCACCGGTACATAACTGGTACAGACAGGGCAACGCCAACGCCAACGCCAATGCCGACGCCGACGACGCTGAGACGGGTGGGGCGTCTAGAGCGGCTGTCGTAGGTCGTGCGTCTTTTTGTGCACTTGCGCTGGCGGCGATTGAGTGCTGCTGGGCTGTTCTGCTCGGTACTACAACAAGCGTAGGAAAACCATCGAAATAAATGAGCATTACTACATCTTACTCATCTATTATACGAATCCACAAATCAGTAAATAGCCAACAATATATATATATATATGTATATACACATTATCCATACCCTACTGATCCATCGAAATCACCCATCCCTAACCCCCATATCTTAATACCTAACGCCATCTTTCATTCTAACCACACGAAAAGTCCAGACTCGACATCGATATCTTTTTTCCACTGCCGATTTATTTATTTCTTTATTTCTTTATTTCTTTATTTCTTTATTTCTTTATTTCTTTA